TTCTCCTCTCGGGATCTTGGGCACGCACACACACGCGCCCGGCGTGAGTTTTAAGCCACTGGGTCCGGGACACGAACCACAGTCGACTATGTGGGATTCCAGCGACATAGCCATTACGCTAACTGCTGGTTCCCAAACATACGACTATTCAGAGAATTACTGACAAGCATTTGATTGGTCTGTTTGAACCCCAGAGGGAAAAACAATGCAAAATCAAGCAAACAGAAAACATTGCAAAGACTTAAATTAACATTATTTAAAAGAAAGAAAAATAACACTTGTGCTGATAATAATATCTAACATTTTGTGCAAAAAAATTGTAAATAAAGTTTATACTACTTAAAATTTGATGTGAGGGCCAGCAAGTGGTATGGTGGTTAAGACACTAGAATTCCCGCATGGTCTACCATGATTGAGTCCCGGACCTGGTGGCTTACCTTCTCACTTTCCCTCTCTCTCTTTGTCATTCTCTGGCAGAACTCATGAGAAATTATACTAATAATAAATAAATAAAATAATTCTTTTTTTTTTCTTTTTTTCTGGGAGAGGTTTTTGCTATAGGGCACATGTGCTCGCCAGACAGAGACAGAGAGACAGAAAGCGAGAAATCACCCCCTGGGGGGATGGCCATGCCACAATCTCTTCTCCTCCATTCTCCTCTTGGGATCTTGGGCACATACGCATACGCGCCCGGCATGAGTTTAAGCCACCGGGTCCAGGACTCGAAATGTGGTCGACTAACTGCGCTTTTATCTTACTTGGGGACCAAAAAATTTTTAAAAAAAAAAAAAAAAAAAAAAAATTGATGTGAGATGGGGCCAGCAGGTGGCAGGGTGGTCGGGGTGCTGGACTCTCACACAGCTGACTGCAGTTTGAGTCTCAGACCTGGCATCTTACTTTCTCTCTCTCTCTCTTTCTCTCTAGCATGTGACAATAATTAAATTAAATAAATAATTATTTTAAAAAATTTGCTGTGAGATTATAATGGACATCTGTTTATCTTTGGGGCCTTTCATGCTCTTAGGACACTTTTTTAAAAATGTTCTATCTTACTTACCCACTTTCCCTAAGACAGAAGGCAAAACTGTCTTGGTCAGTTTAGCATGAATCTAGAGTTCAGATGCACGATTCAGGTTCATCAAATGGTTGTACTCACAGCATCCATGTGACAAAGTAAGTGTCAGAATTCAGCCACCGTGGTGGGTGGCAGAGACCTCAGCTTCAAAGACAGCAGTGATAATGGCTGTAGTGACAGAGTCCGATGACCAGCAGAAGTGGTGAGGATTCTGCTGTCGGTACCCAGTAGCAATGGCGTTCACATTTCCACAGAGCCATCTATACCATCAGTTGTCCTTAGCAGTGTTCACAATATACTCAAATAAGTTACTTTTCTGCTGAGGCTTTTCCAGTGAGTTTCTATTTCTTAAAACTAAAACTAAAATCAGCAACTGATCATAATAATTTAGCATTTTACTATTGATATTTTTCATGTATCCACTAGGTTATAATCCCTTATACTGAGACTATGTAATATGAAAACTATGATAAATACTTGCTAAATACTTTGTAGAGAATGAAAAAACTACCTTTTTGGTCAGCCATCAGGGAGGGCAGTCTGGAACTATTTATGGTATTCGGCTAAAGCCCAAACTGATCAATGAAGAATTTTAGACATGATTAAGTCCAGCATGACATTTTAGCTAGGAGAATAGAAGACTTAACACGTTAAGGGTTCATTGATGGTTATGCATCTAGTTATGACAGAGCTTGACGCAAAGATCAACCTTTCTGGTCACTAGTCTTCCCCCCGCCCCAACCCCACATCACAACACTGAGAAATTATCAGTAGATTATGTGAATAACTTCTTGTTCACTATTTAAATCAAGGGCTTCATGTTTTTATAAAAGTTTTTGGGAAAATATTTAGGTTAAAAATAAAACACTGAGCAGATAATCAGTTGAGTGTGTATGTATGTGTGCATGTGTGTGTGCGTGCATCTGTGTGTATTTCTCTGAACTGGTAGTAGGATGGAAGATCCTTGGACTGACTTTTTAAAAAGTTATAAGCCCGTGTAACTAGGAGTTTTAAAAAAACGATGACAGATTCTTGATTATAGCAGTGCCATTGAGCAGCCCTATAATATAATATTTTAGGTGAAAAGTAACATTTAGACAGGCTATTTTTCTAGCACCTGATTTCAAGGTCAAATGCATTTCTTCTTCATGTTTTGGAAGTGCCTACATTGAAAGCAAAATGAGAAAAGACAGGCCAATGTGTTTTTTACATGATAGAATTCTGGGTCTTAAAAAAGGTAAACACTGAACAATTTAAAACTGGTACTACAGCAATGAGAAAACCTAATTACTTTCCATGCTTTAAATGCTTCATGCAAGAGGAGAATAATTACCTGAGACAGTGTTATAGAATGAATGACACAGATGCAGTTTGGACTTTGTAGTCTCCTTGTGACTTCTCGGCTGTCTATATAAATGACTGCAACATCGTCTACTTAATCAACAGCAAATGAAAGTTTCCAGAAGGAAAACTGTCCCATAGATTATAGCACACTCTGACATGAAGGGAGGTTAATTCCCAGAACTTAATTATATTAATATCTCCGAAGGGGTCAAGGATCAGAGTAGTCTATAGTTGGTAACCCAGGACCATATTTGTTATCCTGAGAAAATCAATTCAGGAACTAGGACTGAGCTCCAATTTACAATAACAATAATGCTTTCTTTGGATAGGGCTTTAGACAAACTTTTTGTAGGTATTATTTTAAGTGTGCTAATAAAAGAAGATGCATGAATAATAAAGGACAAGATATAAAAATTTGCTTTTGACGTTTGCATTGTTTTTAGCAATTTTTTTATGATATCATCCTGTGTTTTTTTTTATGTTTTTCTTCTTTGTTCTTTTAAAATTTACTTTATACATTCAATCACTGTACATCACAGAGCTTGCAAAATGAATTTTCACAGCATAAATACATTACACACTAGTGCAGTTAAAAATATCATCATACATGTTTTCATCAACGGACAGTCCTCCATTTGTGTCCCTCAAATATCTTGCCTCTCTATTTTTCTCCAGGATTTCCTTCCTCATGCTGAGGTAAACCCTAGTGGTCATCCTAAGCAATTGTTTCTTTTGGATTATCTTTCATGCCTTGGTCTCTTTAGGTGAATCCGGCTCACTTCATGGGTAATATAAACTTCCCTCAGTTCTTGAGGTCTCATCCTCAAAAATAGCTCCCATTTGTCCACTCTTCTTACATTTATCCTTTCATGTTTCCTGATTCTTTGATCTACTCTATTTCTACCTAACATCTTGTTTGGTTCTAAATATCTAGTCCCATTCTTTTGCTTTTCTTTTCTTATTTCAGCTCCCATTTATTTTCTTTATAGTATATCAAATTGTGATTATATATCCATCTGCTTATTTGCCAGTGACTGAATCAGTTTCTTCCACCAAAGTACAATTAGTGATCACCTGAATGCTTAGAACATAGTAGATACTTAATAAAACTTGTCAATTAAATGAATAACTAAACATATTACTAGTAACAACTTATAAAGCTAGAGCTTAAGTCATATTTCCATGAACTTTTTGAAGTACCCTTCTCATATAATCTTTAATATTAATATTCATCTTTAGGGAACAGCAGTTGGCATAATGCCTATGTCACTGGATTCCTGTGTAGTTGACTGTGGTTTGAGTCCCGAACCTGGTGGCTTAAACTCACGCTGGGCACATGTGTGTGTGTGCCCAAGATCCTGAGAGGAAAATGGAGGAGAAGGGATTGTGGTGTGGCCATCCCGCCTGGGGGGGGGGTGATTTCTTACTTTCTTTTTTTTTTTTTTTTTTCCTTTTTTTTTTGGAGAGATTTTCACTATAGGGCGCGTGTGCTCGCCAGACAGACAGAGAGAGACATTAGAGACAGAAAGCGAGAAATCACCCCCCAGGGGGGATGGTCACGCCGCAATCCCTTCTCCTCCATTCTCCTCTCGGGATCCTGGGCACGCACGCACACGCGCCCGGCGTGAGTTTTAAGCCACCGGGTCCGGGCCGCGAACCGCGGTCGACTACGTGGGAGTCCAGCGACATAGCCATTACGCTAACTGCTGGTTCCCATTTCTTACTTTCTTTATCTGCCTCTCTGGGGAGAGCATTCACTCTAAGCAGAAATCTCTCTTAAAAAAAAAAAAAAAGAAAAAAGAAAAAGAAAGAAAGAAAGAAAAAGAATAAGGTCTGATTGCAATGATTGCTACGTGAAATTTTTTAGAAGTGAGCAAGTGTACAAGCAAGGAAATGAGTTTGGAAATTACTGTTGTCCCTCTAAGCTTGCCCCTGACTATTCCTGATTTAGGGAAGAGATGCGTTTCTGGTTCAGACTTAGGCATTTAATGAGGGCATCTGGTGGATTGAGTGGTGGGTAGAAATGAAGAGGGTCAAGTTAGGAGAATTGTCCATAGAGTTGTACCCTCCCCAGATCCAGCACCACACTCTGCACATAGTCTCACCACTGTATTCACGACGTCGTAAGTGTTGTTGAATTTCAATCTGGTGCCAACCCTGAGAGGTGGGTATTATCATCACATTGTAAAAATAGGAAGAAAGTGTTTCAGAGGTAAGTAACTCACTCCAACTCATACAACCAAGGAATCAGAGTGCTGGGCTTTAAACATTGGTCCAGTGAATATGACCACCATTCTTGAAAACTTCTTGTGTTTCAGGCACTGCACTAAGTGCTTTCATCCCATCATCTCACTGTCTTCCCTACTTTATGTGACACTGCTGTCCTTCGTGACTTGGAGTCCAAAGGAGAACCGTCTGGGTTGGAATCCCAGCCACTCCACCCAAAAGCTGTGTAACCTTGGGTAAAATACTTAATCTCTTGCAGTCCCAGGTTTCTTCTGCAAAATAGTGATGATAATAGTTTCTACCTCCCAACAAAGTCACAAAGATTAGGAAATACAAGGTAAAGTGCTTATATAGGGTGCTCGCTTTGGCAGCACATACGCTAAAATTGGAACGTTACAGAGAAGATTAGCATGGCCCCTGTGCAAGGACGGCACGCACATTTGCGGTGTTCCATATTTTTTAAAACAGAAGTGCTTATATAGGATCTAATGCATACTAAACTCCATTTGTGACAGCAATCCTCCTTTTAAAAATAAAGAATCTGAGGCACACAGAGATAACTTGTTCAAGGCCATAAGACTATATTTTTGCAATGTTATGGCTTGGTGTTGATGACCCTGTGGATGCTTACCAGTTGCCTAGGTTACAGCCCGGAACCACATCACCAATTAACACCCCAAAGGGAAGACAGCTCTAACTATTGGAAATGTAAAAATAAATTATGGTGGTATTTGTAATATATACACATCTGATTCCAATATGCTAATATACATAAAACCTGAGTGAAGTTCTATTATTTTCTGAGACTACTGTAAATATGACATTTTCCAACAAGATAAATATGTACACCATACCCCGTCAAGTGTAACCAAATCTGATTATTCCCCTCCAACACAATGCCATACTTCTGCTCCTTAAGTGGGGAGAGGATGGACACAGGTAAAGTGTTTGGAGGCATGGTGACATACAGTCCTCACCTCACACGTAAACACTCATGCTTACCCCATGGATTGACATCACTGTGCTGGATTCAGTACTCCTGAAATAGCATGCACCCAAACCTCCAGTTACCACAGAGTGCCAGAAATGGTTCTCCAGCATGTCTGGCTATTGACAAACTTGCCAGGTAGAACAAGTTGGTGTAGCTTTATAATTTGAATCTCCCAGCCAGCTTGTTTATATTGGCTCGTACTTCACTTAGTACCTTTCTAAGTGGAAACACCTTTGCTCTTTATTTTATTTTATTATTTTTTTAAGATAATTTTTTTGAGGGAACCAGCAGTTAGCATAATGGCTATGTCGCTGGACTCCCATGTAGTCAACCGCGGTTCACGTCCCAGGCCCGGTGGCTTAAACTCACGCCAGGCGCGTGTGTGTGCGTGCCCAAGATCTCGAGAGGAGAATGGAGGAGAAGGGATTGTGGCGTGGCCATCCCCCCTGGGAGGTGATTTCTCGCTTTCTGTCTCTCTGTCTGGCGAGTGCACACGCCCTATAGTGAAAAATCTCTCTCAAAAAAAAAGATAATTTTTTGAGAGGTTTTTGCTATAAGGTATGTGTGCTCGCCAGAAAGAGAGACAGAGAGACAGAAAGTGAGAAGCCACTCCCCAGGGGAGATGGCCATGCCACAATCCCTTCTCCTCCTTTCTCCTCTCAGGATCCTGGGCATGCACACACACGTCCCTAGCGTGAGTTTAAGTCTCCAGGTCCAGGACCCGAACTGCAGTCGGCAACATGGGAGTCCAGCAACATAGCCATTTGCCAACTGCTGGTCCCTAAGAGATATTTTTGCTATAGGGTATGTGTACTTTCCAGAGAGACAGAGAGACAGAAAGCAAGAAATCATCTCTTAGGAGATATGGCCATGCTGCAATCCCTTCTCCTCCATTCTCCTCTCAGGATTTTGGGCATTCACACACACCCAGTGTGAGTTTTAAGCTGCCTGGTCTGAGACTCTAACTGTGGTTGACCACTTGGGAGTCCAGCAACATAGCAAGTCCCCCTTCTGCTGGTCCCAGCACCCTTGTTCTTAACTTTCTCTTTCCTCAATCCCATTTCCTCAGAGAAGATATTATACCCCAATTTGCTTCATGAGACTGGATTGATAGACCAATCATGTTGACAGGTTGTTCTGTTCTTTTGTACATTCGAAAAGAACATTCAAGACATGGTTAAGCTCTCAACAAAAATTTAAGGAACCACTAGTACATTTTAGGTGCTGGAAAAAAACAAACAAACAAAAAACAGACTATAAGACCTTAATACTGTCTTACTGTCTTGCAGACTTAACACTTTTTCAAACTGACAGTGTGAACGTCTAGGAAAGATTTCTTTCCAATTGACCTCCTATTTTATTGTCCCATAGTGCCTCTTTCAAAGTGACAGTGTGAACATCTAGGAAGGATTTCTTTCCAATTGACCTCCTGTTTTTGTTGTGCCTTAGTGCATGCACTCTCTCTAAGTTTTAATTATTCACTCTCTATTATATGTCACAGGGAAAGCCATAGGTATTAATGTTTTTGTATCCCTTAGTAGAGGATCAAGGCATTTTTATCTAGTGTACCGACTGATCACTGTGCTTATTACCTTTGTCTCTCTTCCTTAGACACAAATGTTCTATTTCTCAAAACCTTATCAGGAACTTCCTAACTTCAGGGCAACTCTGTGCTGCAGTGGTAATATGCTCCCTGAGAGAAGCCAGATCCCACATGGTGACTGTGGTTCGAATTCCTCACCTGGTCAGTCTGAAACACACCAGGTACGTGCATGAGTTCCCAAGACCTGACAGGCTGGAGGATGGAGGAAGATGACAGCAATGTGACCAGAGGCTGCTGGGGATGCCGGGATGCCAGGATGTTTCTGTCTCTCTCTCTCTCTTTTTTTTTTTTTAGAGGTTTTTGTTATAGGGCGCATGTGCTCACCAGAAAGACAGAGAGAGACAGAGAGACAGAAAGCGAGAAATCACCCCTTAGGGGGATGGCCATGGTGCAATTTCTTCTCCTCCAGTCTCCTCTCAGGATTTTGGGCATACATCCGCAGACTCCTGTTATGAGTTTTAAGCCCCAGGGTCCAGGACTCAAACTGTGGTCAACTACGTGGAAGTCCAGCAACATACCTATTACACCATCTGCTGGTCCAACCCTGTTTATTTTATAAAACAATTTGAGGCAGCTTATAAAATAGGCACAGAAATAGTGAAGTTAGTATATAGAAAAATAAAATAAAATCAGGACTTAGAAATCAGGAAGAAGCAAACCTGATAACCTTAAGAGCATAACTGTAATGTCTGAGTGCCAGATTTGGCTCTGAAATCCTTTGCAGGCAGGATAAAGGGGAAATGTGATATAGTTCCCATTATCTCTTGTTATATAACAAACCATTTCAAAAAGTGACTTAGAACATTAACCACTATCATTATTATCCCTCAACCTGAATTGCCTCAGGTTCA